GGCATGGACATTTCTCTCTTTAGTATCAAAAAAAATCGAACCGTGACGCTGAACTATCGAACCAAACTGAATCGTGAATTTTCTGTATCGTTGCACATATTGTTACAACTAGTGGGTGTTCCCTTAAATCCCTTAACACACCTCTGAAAAAAAGGATATCCAAATTAAATTAAATGTTGTTTTTGAATCAATCATCAATCATAGAGATTGACCCAGTTGGTTAAAAGAGGTGTCAATCAAAAAGGGGAGGGTCTACAAAGGGGAGGGTCTACACAGCCCTTTTTTTTTAACTGTGTTGTTTAAATTAAATGTTTGATTTTAAGACAGTCTGAATCCTGCACAGGTTCACCATCTGGTCAGAAATAAAATCCTTTTCTCCAAACTAGAATTGTCCAAAGAGCTATTGTAGTGTCTAAAAGTGGGGGTCTCTTCTCAGGAATGCACAGATGTGTTATGTCTCTCTTAGACCCCAGCTTCAGAGCTCAGCACGTTACCATATTAGGAAAATGAATGTTTAAGATATACCGTGACAATATTTATGGTACATCTGTTGGACTGCACTGTGAAACCTATAAAAAGGCTTGTACGCCCCCACTCTTGGCCTTCGTCTTCATCTTTTTACCTGGTGATTCATTTGGCTTAGAAGGCCACGGTTTGGTTTTTGGCTGTAAATKTCCTGGACTGCAAAATAAAGATTGTTGCTGTTCAACCAGCCTGTTTCAGAGTTTCTCTCTTCAGGAGCAGCAGCAGTTTGCAGAACCAGAAGAYGTGGTTTTTACACCTCACTATCTACGACAGGTTAGATATTTATTGTCAATAAATTTTATGTTGACAGAACCCCACTTCAGAAGTTATTTCTTTGATTAGCTGAAACGTTAAGATTAGGTTTAAACTTCACTTGGTGCTGAAACAGTCAGAGTTACGTAATAAAAGTCAACCTTCTGCCTCTCATGATGTTGAATGCAGACGGGCCTGCTGCCACATTAAGTCAACACTGTGAGCAATGTGCATTTATTAGTTCTGCTCTGTGTGGAGAGACGGAGTTTGTTTCACYGTCTATTGTTGCTTTTAGAAACACAAAATTAACGTATAAATCAAAAGTCTTCCTGCAGTGGGTTCATGTTGCCAAGCTGAAGTGAGCGCCTTCATTTTTAAAGACAGCACAGTGATGAATTAATCATCCTCTTAGAGCGGGTCCAAACAGAACCTAATGGGCAACACAGAACACCGAGTTCTGCTTAGAAAGTTTCATAGAAAAATTCTACATTTAAAACTGTTCTGTGTTCAGAGTTACCACTCAAAGTGTCGTAAATTACTGTTTAGATAATGACGGGGTATTACTTTAGCTACTTTTTAATGAATTAAAAAGTGTCTCTGTGTTTTTATTATTATATTAAACAAAGAAAAAACAAAAACATTCAGAAAATATTTCATGCATTCTAGTTTAAATTATTTGGTCTCAAAGCTTGTACATACAAACATTTATTTTAAAAATGTTCCTAATAAACAACACCAGAGAAATCAGCTTTTCTGTCGAAACACAGCCGAAGCTGAAAATTTCAAGACACGTTCATCGTTAAAGTAAAAAACAAAAAACAACAGAACTTTCAATTAGCAAAACTGCAGCTAAAAGCTAAAACTAACAAATCAGTAGACCAATGGTAAAATGAGCAAACACATACAGTAGCTAAAACCTTTAATTAGCAAAACAGTAGCTTAAAGCTAAAATTAGGGGGAAATCACTTAAGCGAAACTATTCAAATAAGCAAACTCAGCTAAAAGCTAAATTTAGCATTGCTGTACCTAAAAACTAAAATGAAGCTAAATCGTAGCTAAAAACTAAAACCTGCAAGCTTAGCTAAATGTTAAGCTTAGCTAAACCACGTTTGCAAAATGGCGCATAAGAGCTTAAGCTAAAATTAGCTGAACCAAAGCTAAAAGACAAGATTAGGGTAARTAGTAAAAAGCAACAATAAGAAAAAAACCTACCAAGAAATTAAAATTAGCATCGTTGTATCTAAAAGATAAAATCAGCAAGACAGCAGCTAAAAGTTACATTTATCATAGCTGTACCTAAAAACTAAAATGAAGCAAAGCAACAGCTATAAACTAAAAGTAGAAAGCTTGGCTAAATGCTAAACTTAGCTAAACCATAGCTTAAAGTTAAAAGAATAGAAACTGTAGCTTAAAACTCAAGTGGATAAGTTAAACGTAGCTAAACCAAAGCTAAAAGACTAAATTAGCAGAGGTACTAAGAAGCAACTAAAATGAGCAAAGTTGTATCTAAAAGATAAAATTAGCAAGACAGTAGCTAAAAGATAAATTTTGCATAGCTGTTCCTAAAAACTAAAATGAAACAAAGTCATAGCTATAAAACTAAAATTAGTAAGCTCGTCTAAATTGCTAAACTTAGCTAAACCATATCTTAAACTTAAAAGAAAAGAAACTGTAGCTTAAAACTAGTGGAATGGTGGCTACAAGCTAAAGTAGCTAAACCAAAGCTAAAAGATTAAATTAGCAAATGTAGTAAAAACGCGACCCTGAAAAGGAAGAAGCGTGTACAGAAAATGGATGGATGGATGGATGTAGTAAAAAATCAAAAATAAGAAAAAAATCTACCAAGAAACTAAAATGAGCAAAGTTGTATCTAAAAGCTAAAATTAGCAAGACAGTAGCTTAAAGCTAAATTTAGCATAGCTGTACCTAAAAATAAAATGATGCAAAATCATATCTAGAAAAATAAAATTTGCAAGCATAGCTAAATGCTAAAGTTAGCTAAGTTAGCAAAA